AACAATACCAGTAGAAATCTAAATTTGTCAGCTGATTATATTTCTCCAGTAGCATTATACTAAGGAGATTACAGCTGACTATACCAACAGAGGTTGATGTTAGTATCATCATTTAAAGCTGGAGATGAGTTCATGAGGCCTCAGTGGCAAATCAGTGAACAGTAGCCTAAAACAGCTACAAGTCACTGCGACCAATGTCACTGAACCCACTGCAGTCTCAGAACCATACTTTACTTTAATGATGAGCTATTCAATCTTCTGAATCAATTAACTAAATTAAACCCCAATAAATCTGATGACTGATTTGATACATTTATTATTTAATCAAGATGTATTCCATGGGCCTCAGTGTTTATATATCAGTGACCAGTTACCTGAAGAAACTTCAAGTTATATCTAATGTCACTGATCTCACTGCAGTCCCTGAATCATACTTGACTGTAGTACTTGATCACATCCAGTCTTCTGGGTTAAATAATATGTAATAAGGCTTGAATATTAGCCTTTCAAGAGTTGACAGGGAAATGAAATCGCATTAGACTTCTAACCCCTGCAACTCTAGTACGGGACATCCGTCCTGTACGAACAGACACACAAATGTGTGATTACTAACTACTAACATCAAATTAATGTAATAATTCGAAGGAGGAGTATCGGTGTTCGTCTGTTCTAAATAGGACTTCGACCCGTGAGCAGCCCCCTGGGGAATTATGTCGGAAAATCCGACACCATTTAATATCATCATACAGATAATAGCTGTGTTGTATAAACAAGTTACCCATAGAAAACGTAACTTGTAGTGGAATTACCGTCTAAAGAAAACGGGATATCATCACCACATACCATTATAATTCACCAGCTATTCTGCTGGGAATTATTCTTAAATACATTAGTCTTTGGACTTTACCATCATAAAAACATCTTATATAAATTAACTTAATTATCAATATTAAAGTAGAGTAAATGTGACCCTTCTATCACTTTCTGAAATGTGGACAATGTAAGCCAGGCGTCAGAGGGAGGAAGGAGGGCAGCCATTGTTTTGTTGTACTAGACCAGAGGCTCACACGGGAGCAAATTCGGCTCCTGTTAAATTTACTTGGACGTAGTGTTATGGAAACTAAAAGTGTACCATTATCAACACGCTGTCTACAAATTCAAGTTAAGTGTCTATCCGAAACCCATTATCTATCATTAGTGGCCATTAATGTCATTGGGTAGGGTTATCCGGTTAGATCACATGGAAGCCTCAAACTAAAGGTAATTAAGCCAGGTCCTCATGTTCCATGTACTGTTTTCTCTGATATACTTGTCATATATAGGATTCTGGCTTCACAGCTAGCGCACTTTTGACAGGTCAAGACGAGGATGCAAGATTATGTGCACCAGTTACTGGGTGATAGAAGCTACCTCAAAGAGGATAATTTGGTGTCTACACTCTAGTTATACCTGGTGGACTAACCTGCTGTACTATAAGAGAAGGAACCTCATCAATGTATGTAGCTATTACTGTAATTTGATTGGCTGCATATGTGTAATATAAACCCCCCCTAATGTGTAGAGGATCGATTTGTGAGATTATGAGATTATTGCAGAAATACAGTCCACTTATCATTATACAAATTGCTATCGAAGTATATAAATTAACGTAAATATAAATTCATATAAATTAAATAAATATAAATCTCACAGGTCGGTTCCCACACTCCTCTTGGTATCACATTCCTCTCCAATTATCTTATCTTCTTCTGTACGTTTATCTCCGACAGCTTAATCTTACTCAACACTTATTCTATCTTTCCCTGCAGCTTAAGCTGTACTCAACACAATAAAGAAAGGTTCCCCCACATGACAGCAAGACGAGGAGTCACCACAACACATCAAAGTTCACACACTTTAAAGTTCATAAAGTTCTAAGCCGGCTATATTACGACCGCTGCAGTGTACATATTCCAACCTGACTATATTAATTCTATGTATGATATGTTGACCAGATCGGGGGAACAGCACAGATAGTTTGGTAAAATTATTTACTACAAGGATTTGTTTTAGTAATTTTCTTAGTTTGGTTAAGTTAGTTTATGATGATGTTTGAAGGTAAGCGTTGGTACGTGTGGGTAGCAGAGGTAGTCTTGGTCGTCGTATTGATGGTCGACTACGGATGCCTCTTTTATGGGATGCACGACCTATCGGACTCCCAAGACCTTCTCCACACCAGTAAGGAGAGTTTCAAGAGTGTTAAAGAGTTATTGACGAAGGTTAAACTATCGGCTACGGACTAGGAAACTCTTCTCAAGACGGCTGTTATATTATTTTGTGTGTGTGTACTCACCTAATTGTGCTTGCGGGGGTTGAGCTCTGGCTCTTTGATCCCGCCTCTCAACCGTCAATCAACTGGTGTACAGATTCCTGAACCTACTGGGCTCTATCATATCTACAGTTGAAACTGTGTATGGAGTCAGCCTCCACCACATCACTGCCTAATGCATTCCATCTGTTAACTACTCTGACACTGAAAAAGTTCTTTCTAACGTCCCTGTGGCTCATTTGGGTACTCAGTCTCCACCTGTGTCCCCTTGTTCGCGTCCCACCCGTGTTAAAAAGTTTATCTTTATCTACCCTGTCAATTCCTCTGAGAATTTTGTAGGTAGTGATCATGTCTCCCCTTACTCTTCTGTCTTCCAGTGTCGTGAGGTGCATTTCACGCAGCCTTTCCTCGTAACTCATGCCTCTTAGTTCTGGGACTAGCCTAGTGGCATACCTCTGAACTTTTTCCAGCTTCGTCTTGTGCTTGACAAGGTACGGACTCCATGCTGGGGCCGCATACTCCAGGATTGGTCTTACATATGTGGTATACAAGATTCTGAATGATTCCTTACACAGGTTTCTGAAGGCTGTTCTGATGTTAGCCAGCCTCGCATATGCCGCAGACGTTATTCTTTTTATGTGGGCTTCAGGAGACAGGCTTGGTGTGATATCAACTCCAAGATCTTTCTATCTGTCCGTTTCATGAAATACTTCATCTCCCATTCGGTATCCTGTGTCTGGCTTCCTGTTTCCACTGCCTAGTTTCATTACCTTGCATTTACCCGGGTTGAACTTTAGTAGACATTTGTTGGACTATTCACTCAGTCTGTCTAGGTCATCTTGTAGCCTCATACTATCTTCCTCCGTCTTAATCCTCCTCATAATTTTTGCATCATCAGCAAACAATGAGAGAAACGAATCTATACCCTCTGGGAGATCATTTACATATATCAGAAACAGTATAAGTCCAAGGACTGACCCCTGCGGGACTCCACTGGTGACGCCTCGCCAATCTGAGACCTCACCCCTCACAGTGTGTGTGTGTGTGTGTGTGTGTGTGTGTGTGTGTGTGTGTGTGTGTGTGTGTGTGTGTGTGTGTGTGTGTGTGTGTGTGTGTGTGTAATTACCTAAGTGTAATTACCTAAGTGTAGTTACAGGATGAGAGCTACGCTCGTGGTGTCCCGTCTTCCCAGCACTCTTTGTCATATAACGCTTTGAAACTACTGACGGTCTTGGCCTCCACCACCTTCTCACTTAACTTGTTCCAACCGTCTACCACTCTATTTGCGAAGGTGAATTTTCTTATATTTCTTCGGCATCTGTGTTTAGCTAGTTTAAATCTATGACCTCTTGTTCTTGAAGTTCCAGGTCTCAGGAAGTCTTCCCTGTCGATTTTATCAATTCCTGTTACTATTTTGTACGTAGTGATCATATCACCTCTTTTTCTTCTGTCTTCTAGTTTTGGCATATTTAATGCTTCTAACCTCTCCTCGTAGCTCTTGCCCTTCAGTTCTGGGAGCCACTTAGTAGCATGTCTTTGCACCTTTTCCAGTTTGTTGATGTGCTTCTTAAGATATGGGCACCACACAACAGCTGCATATTCTAGCTTTGGCCTAACAAAAGTCATGAACAATTTCTTTAGTATATCGCCATCCATGTATTTAAATGCAATTCTGAAGTTAGAAAGCATTGCATAGGCTCCTTGCACAATATTCTTTATGTGGTCCTCAGGTGATAGTTTTCTATCTAGAACCACTCCTAGATCTCTTTCTTTATCAGAATTCTTTAAAGATTTCTCACATAATATATAGGTTGTGTGGGGTCTATGTTCTCCTATTCCACATTCCATAACATGACATTTATTAACATTAAATTCCATTTGCCAAGTGGTGCTCAACTTGCTGCCAAGTGGTGCTGTGTGTGTGTGTGTGTGTGTGTGTGTGTGTGTAGATTAAAGAGTCTTTTCGACTTGGTATCTTTTGATTAATTATGTATCAAGCTACATATTCTCCCTGGCTAGGTGCCTTCTTGTGGGAATTATTAATGTAATGGAGATGGCAGTGTAGTGAAGAAGATAGCTACAGTGACAGTGTGTGTAGTGAAGAAGATAGCTACAGTGACAGTGTGTGTAGTGAAGATGGCTACAGTGACAGTGTGTGTAGTGAAGATAGCTACAGTGGCAGAGTGTGTAGTGAAGATGACTACAGTGACAGTGTAGTGAAGATGGCTACAGTGACAGTGTAGTGAAGATGGCTACAGTGACAGTGTGTGTAGTGAAGATGGCTACAGTGACAGTGTGTGTAGTGAAGATGACTACAGTGACAGTGTAGTGAAGATGGCTACAGTGACAGAGTGTGTAGTGAAGATGGCTACAGTGACAGTGTGTGTAGTGAAGATGACTACAGTGACAGAGTGTGTAGTGAAGATGGCTACAGTGACAGTGTGTGTAGTGAAGATGGCTACAGTGACAGTGTGTGTAGTGAAGATGACTACAGTGACAGAGTGTGTAGTGAAGATGGCTACAGTGACAGTGTGTGTAGTGAAGATGGCTACAGTGACAGAGTGTGTAGTGAAGATGGCTACAGTGACAGTGTGTGTAGTGAAGAAGATAGCTACAGTGACAGTGTGTGTAGTGAAGATAGCTACAGTGACAGAGTGTGTAGTGAAGATGGCTACAGTGACAGTGTGTGTAGTGAAGATGGCTACAGTGACAGTGTGTGTAGTGAAGATGGCTACAGTGACAGTGTGTGTAGTGAAGATGGCTACAGTGAGTTTTACAGTGAGCCCCATAGTTTACTTTAGATACGTTTAAGGAGACGAATGAACCCAGAATTTGATGTTATGTTCGTCACAAGTTGGGTGGAGGCGGGTATAGGAAGCTCAGCTCTGAGAGGCAAGATGGCCGACACAACCCGGGCAGGAAGGAGCCGCTTTCCCGCCTAAAGTCAAACCGGAAGCGACGAGACTGGGGTCTTCCGGGAAAGTGGGAATTGTGATTGGCTGGCCGCCGGGTGGGCGACCAATGAGAACACGCCGTCGCGGAACCGGACGTGACGTGACGTCACTGCCCTCAGCTGTGGGCGGGAGGGACCGACGGCGTCAGTGCGTTCTGGAACTTCGTTGAGGTCGGGTGCGTCACTTATTTCTTCAATTTGAAGCGAATCTTTCTGTCGAAGAGATCGGCTAAGCTGACATTAATTGAGGTCGAAGACAGAAGAGGCGTTAGGGCGACTGTCAGGCTGGAATTCGGAAGTGCTGAGCCGCGAGAAGTGGGTCCTGGTAGACAGGTAGTCTACCTGTCTAGTCAGGTCGCGCTCCTGGAGGTCGTAGCGACCTGAGACAAGAGGAGGTAGTCCTGGTCGACGACCTGCCAGCTGCTAGGGGTCACCCTGATGTCCCCTGCTGCTGCTAACCACAACAGTCGCCTGGAACAGGGACGACGGGTCTACAGCCCACCTAAGGTAGATCAGTTTACCTCCCTTCCATACCCCCATGTGGTTATTAATTATGTTACTCCAGTGATAGTGAAGTTTACCTTATTGAGTACCCGTGAATGAGTATACCCCCCTTCATATACACACACACACACAGAGATATACTCTAACGTTTTGATATATTGATGTATAGTTAATACGACTTTTCCCAAACGGCCAAAAGCAGCCAGAATATAACGTAACGTTTACTGAGTATTGTATTGTGTTTAAAAGTTTACTCACAAGTATACTATGCCGTAATCTAGTTTACTATCAATGTATGTAATTGTTAAGCTCTTACAGTTGGTGTAGGAAGAGACTTTAAACTTAAAGAACCAGGGCGGTGTTGCCGTTCACTCTTGTGAGTCTTGAAGGCGTTGCCTAAACGTAACTGTCATCAGAATTGCCATTAGTTTGTGTTTAGTCTTCCTATTGTTGCACTTTGTAAACTGTTTACCTGGAGTTTGAGCAGCCCATCCTCGACTCAAGTCCATTCCATCCAGCGGTCGACTCCACAGACTCATTCATAAATTTTAACTTGCTGTTTATTCAAAACGGGAATTTTTTCAAATATAAATTAATATTATAATATATTAGCATATTGTGTATATATAGGTTAGGTTAGGTGTTTAGGTTCTGTTGGCGCTTATTTGTATTTTGTAGTACGTGGGTGAAGCATTTACAGCGTTGTGGTTCGAACAAAATTAGTCAGTGAAGCACTTGTTCCGGAAGTGTTCGAACGAAATATGTTGCGAGTCGTGTGTAAACAGTTTTTTATTCATAAACAGGGGGTTTGGCGGGTGGATGGAATCACTTTTGGGTCTTTGTTTGGAGAACGGGCCTGGGGGGGGGGGGAACTAGCTTGAAGTTACAGAGCCTCGTGGACTGAGGGTCGAGGAACATTAGGCTGTATTCCATTCTACCAGCCCGTCCTCCAAACAAAGATCCAAAAGTGATTCCATGCACCCGCCAAACCCCCTGTTTATGAATGAAAAGCGATTTACACACGACTCACAACTGCTGAAGTTCGAACATATCCGGAACAAGTCCTTCACTGACGAATTTTGTTCGAATCACAACGCTATAAATGCTTCACCCACGTACTACAAATAATCGCCAACAGAACCTAAACACCTAACCTAACCTATCCTATGCCTATATATGCACAATATGCTAATATATTATAATACTAATTTATACTTGAGAAAATTCACGTTTTGAATGAACAGCAAGTTAAAATTTATGAATGCGTCTGTGGGGTCGACCGCTGGATGTAATGGACTTGAGTCGAGGACGGGCTGCATTCTACACGGGAGAGAGCCGTTATTGACCCCCCCCCTCCCCCCCTCTCCGGGTGAGACGTATTGGAGTACCCCGCGGCGAGTCAGACTACACTTCTCTGTTACTACACTTCTCTGTTACTACACTTCTCTGTTACTACACTTCTCTGTCACTACACTTCTCTGTCACTACACTTTACTGTCACTACTCTTTACTGTCACTACACTTCATTGTCACTACACTTTACTGTCACTACACTTCACTGTCACTTTACTTCACTGTCACTACACTTCATTGTCACTACACTTTACTGTCACTGCACTTCACTGTCACAACTCTTTACTGTCAATACATTTCACTGTCACTACACTTCACTGTCACTACGCTTGACTGTCACTACACTTCACTGTCACTACACTTTACTGTCACTACACTTTACTTTCACTACGCTTGACTGTTACTATACTTCACTGTCACTACACTTCACTGTCACTACACTTCACTGTCACTGCACTTCACTGTCACTAGAGGCAGCTGGAGGAGTAGGTAGTGGAGGCAGCAAGACTTAAGTACACAAGGGGTGTTACTACACAGAACTATTGTACAGGATCATCTGGACAAACTTAAAGAATTGTGCAATATTTGGTCTCTAATATTTTAACCCCAGCAGGACGTTTTGACCATGAGACAGGACATTAGACACCTAATGGGAGAGAAACTCTCTTTGGAGTCAGACAAATAAAATAACCTGTTTCCAGTCTCTCATCAACCGGATATCATCGGCGGCATATGAAAGATTTGCTAACATAAAATCTGCGTTGGAAAACCTAAATAAAGAAAGGCTCATGAAGTTTGTATCATGTATGTTACACTAATTTTGGAATATACAACGCCAGAAAGATGTTCCATGTTTTGTTAAACACGACGGGAATGTTGCTTGAGAAAGTCTAGCCTATTCCCATATCTGCGGGGTACGAGTTGTGAACATACTAAAGGATTTTAATAATAATAATAATAATAGTAATAATAATAATTTATTTAGGAACAGTACATACATAGTTGCAGCATTACAGTACAAACATTCTGTTAGATTTAAAGATAGAGGTAATACATACAATACCTAAAGCCACTAGTACGCATAGCGTTTCGGGCAAGATTTATACCTCATGTAACTGAGGGAATGCACAAGGAAGACAAGCACATACAAAAATCTCAGAGGAATAAACAGGACAGACTATTTGAGACAGGTGGTATATAAAGAAGACGTCAAAGCTTCATAATACAACAAAACTAAGCTCCTACAATACTCACTAAGCGGTCAAATACAACACAGCTGAACTCCTCCAACTCTCAGCAAGCGGCTTAATACAACATAGCTAAGCTCCACCAGCTGATAAAAAAAGAAAATTCTGACGTTCATCCTTAGCTTCTTGATCGACCAAGTTTCCCGCCAAAATTGAAAAAGTTAGCAAGCATGACGGAGTGTGCTGGTGGTGATATGCCTCCACCCGCCCGCCCAGGCCCCGTGGGACCCCAACCACGCCACAAATAATTAAAAGGATAGAAATGGTTAATTTAGATAAAAATATCCAGGAAAGTGAGAAGCATTTTTAGATTTTTTTTTCTTTTCTTCCAGGAAGCCTTGAACGCGCCCCGGTGTGGCTGAAGAAACGGCGGCAAAATGTGGCGGGAAGATAAGGCGCCCGCGGTCCCACGGTGCCGCGCTGCCTGAGGCGCGACCACTCTCTCGTGTCACTTTCTTACCAATAAATAAGTAACATTTTTCGAGATGGGAATACAAACGTTGAGTCTGTGTATTGTCCATTAAGAAATTAATATACTAGTAGTAACGAATATTAAGCGAAATGTTTAAGAGGAGTGATTTTAAGCGAGGGGTGATGATCGCGCAGCAGACAGCGGCTCCATCAACCAGCTCGCTACAGTCAGCTGATAAAAAGCGCGGGAAGGCGACGGGGTTCATCTTTTTAATCGCGGGCTCGAGGGGGGATCCCCACGTCACTTCCCTTCATGATTGCCTCCACCCCACCACTCTGCAACTCATATATTGACACACACTCCAAACAGCCAACTTATTGTTCAACTTGAAAATTTAATAAAAATGTATTTATGGCTAGGCCTTCATTATGATGTAAAAATAAATAATAATACCTAAATGTACACACTCACAGTGGCCTCGCGCCCGAGTGGACCGCGCTGGGGGTCGTAGTCTTAAGAGTCTGGGCTCCATTCCCGGCCGAGACAGAAACAAATGGGCAAAGTTTCTTTCACGTGATGAACCTGTTCACCTGGAGTTAAACAGCTGTTGTGGGCTGCATTCTGGGAATGTGTGTTTGTGTTAAAGAGAAATATATGTAGAAGATATAATAGAACAGCTCGATCATGCAGGCACAAATAGTAAACACACACACACGCACAGTTGATATCACACCAAACCTGTCTCCTGAAGCCCACATCAAAAGAATAACATTTGCGGCGTATGCGAGGCTGGCTAACATCAGACTGCCTTCAGGAACCTGTGTAAGGAATCATTCAGAACCTTGTATACCACATATGTAAGACCAATCCTGGAGAATGCGGCCCCAGCATGGAGTCCGTACCTTGTCAAGCACAAGGCGAAGCTTGAAAAAGTTCAGAGGTATGCCACTAGGCTAGTCCCAGAACTAAGAGTCATGAGTTACGAGGAAAGGCTGCGGGAAATGCACCTCGTGACACTGAAAGACAGAAGAGTAAGGGGAGACATGATCACTACCTACAAAATTCTCAGAGGAATTGATAGGGTAGATAAAGATAAACTATTGAACACAGGTGGTACGCGAACAAGGGGACACAGGTGGAAACTGAGTACCAAAATGAGCCACAATGACGTTAGAAGGAACTTTTTCAGTGTCAGTAGTTAACAGATGGAATGCATTTGACAGTAATGTGGTGGAAGCTGACTCCATACAGTTTCAAATGTAGATATGATAGAGCCCAGTAGGCTCAGGAACCTGTACACCAGTTGATTGACGGATGTGAAGCGGGAACACTGCTTGGCGCCTTTTGATAATTACTTACTGAGAGGCAAGACCAAAGAGCCGAAGCTCAACCCCCGCAAGCATAACTAGGCGAGTACACACACACACACACACACACACACACACACACACACACACACACACACACACACACACACACACACACACACACACACACACACACACACACACACACACACACACACACACACACACACACACGACACACACACGACAGACTGCAACACAATACACTTGAGCGTCGAGTGAGAGTAACAGGAAGAGGCGAGTAGAGAGAGTGAGAGAGAGCATCCATCACTAAGCAGTAAACAAGTCATAGTGAGGTGCCAGAATTAAGCCTGGCGTAGGGTAACAGTGATCGATGATGGGACACGTACAATTTTCTCCTTACATTAATGACCTAACCACGATGGGCGAGTCTAACAAGGCAATATGTCCGGGCGACGACACTATGTGGGACAGGAAAACACTTCTTTGCAGGATAAATATTTAATGTAAAGAAATACTAGAGTGCAAGCAACCCACTCTAGCGAGGTTAAAGGTCCCTTATCTACAGCTGTTTCGGGTGACCTCTTAACGCACTTGTAAAAAATATAAATCTATAGACTTCGTCTGAAAAAGAAAGTCCGCCAAGGTCAATGTGAAGCGGGTCCTTACACATATCGGTTGCAGTTTTGGAAATCAATGTTGCATGAGCGTGCTCGGCTGCCTGCCTCACCTGCTCGCCTGAATAAGGCATGGGGCCAGGCAGGTGTTCAACTGGTAATTAGCGATGCCTCCCGCTAACCTCCTTGTGTGGTACGAGGCGCCTGGAACCCCAGACCCGTGTTGCAACATTGATGATTCCCGTCAAGACGCACAGGACGGGCTCTCGGCCACATCAACACTCACGGCTCCTCTGGTTAATGCAGCCCGACTGTCCTCTCATGACGGTCGTAGGGCTGTGTGCGGGTCAACAATGCGTCTGGTATTAAGCAAGTAACTCAAACTCGGCCGTTAGTGCTGGCAGTATGAAAAGTAAAGCTCACAAACACCCACGTTTTCTATGCGTAGGTTGGTAAGGCAGCCCGTCCTCTAAACAGAGCCAAAAGTGATTCCATCCACCCGCCAAACCCCCTGTTTATGAATCAAAACCGGTTTACACATGACTCACAACTGTTGACGTTCGAACACTTCCGGAACAAGTGCTTCACTGACTAATTTTGTTCGAACCACAACGCTGTAAATGCTTCACCCACGTACTACAAATACAAATAATCGCCAACAGAACCTAAATACCTAACCTAACCTATGCCTATATATGTACAATATGCTAATATATTATAATATTAATTTATATTTGAGAAAATTCCCGTTTTGAATGAACAGCATGTAAAAATTTATGAGTGCGTCTGTGGGGTCGACCGCTGGATGGAATGGACTTGAGTCGAGGACGGGTTGCAGCAAGGTTAGGTGGGGGACTTGGGTTTGTGCGTTTTAGTACCCTGTATTTTGCCTGTTATTTTACGTAATTGCGTACAATCCTGGTTTGTGTCTCGGAAAGGCTGCAGGGTCCAAGTAAGGGCAGTAGAACTTCTGGTTGCAATTCTTTTAACCATGTCGTAGCGCACTCGATTAAGGCAGCGTCTGGGATGCTCTCGAACGTAGGTTCGAACCCTCATCACGGCCCTTGTGGATTTGTTCATTTGGCCCATACACAACCTTGCCAGAGCCGTTTCCCACTGCCGATTACGGTGGTAGGAGGAAGGCTACAGGGACACACTACTCTTAAGAGTACGCAGTTTGTTACCAGTAACAGAAGACCAACAACCCTGCCAACGGGCAAGGATGGAGGAATGAATAACTGGGTAAAAATGGGAATAAGGAATACCTTTACGGGAGATGGGACAAGTGCGGATAACGTCCTTAGCTGCAGCGTCCGCACGCTCGTTAGGTCTTAAGTGTTTTCCCCACACCTTGTGCGAAACGCTGTGCGTATTGGTGGCTTTAGGCATAATAGGGTAAGGAGAAATTGACTTGGCTTTATATGGATTAACTCTAGAAATCCATTATTATGGCTGAGACACCAATATGGCTGGGAACCCAGAGGTTAAGTGAGACAAGCAGCAGAGGTTCCTCTGCTGCGACGTCATCTTCCATTGGCAGGGATCTAAGCCTGTGTTGCTAGTGAGGCAAGGTCGTTGTTTTGTATTTTTATATTAGGTATTTTTTCTTTGATGAGGATAGCGTCTGAAATGTGTAATCTGCCGTCAATTGCAGAATCAAGTATCTGTGTATTTTCAACCATTTTCCTTATGAGCACCACATCGTGATTAGTTCACATATGATTAGTTTGGAGCTCATGCTTGCAGGTGACAAGTCTACTTTCTGGAAAGGTTAGTAGTGATCATGCCAATATAAGCATCGCGGATCAGTTCTACAGTAACAGTGTTCTACAGTTCTAGTTAGTAGTGGTTATGCCAACTATCCAACTAGCGGTTAGTTATACCAACTAGTTATACCAACTAGTGGTTATGTTATGTTATTATGTTAGTAGTGGTTATTCTACAGTTCTAGTTAGTAGTGGTCATGCCAATATAAGCATCGCGGATCAGTTCTACAGTAACAGTGTTCTACAGTTCTAGTAACAGTTCTACAGTGTTCTACAGTAACTTATTTCAAGTTAGGCTTTGCTTAGTTTACATAATTTTTTCAAGCTCGCCAGGCTGTTGACGCATTACCTTAAAGGTGTCTGGCTAGGGGTCTCGTAATTGGGAGTTCTTCAAAAGGTCGTCATACACTCCTCAGTAAATTCATACATATTACGTGACCCGGGTCTGTCAGGGGCATTTTCTCCACACTCCTGAATGAAGTTTATGAACGTGCGATGCCTTCTGTCGTACCTAATAGCCTGGCCTAACAAGTCGAATTTTCGTGAAATTTAATTTTTTTTATTTTTGTCTATGAAATTAGAAAGTTTTAATTTTCATTGTATTATATACGATTGCAATTTTACGTCAAGTCAAAACTAGCAGAAATTTTATCAACCCTAACCTAACCAAACATGTCCTAACCTAACTAAGTCAGTAATTCATGTTCCTAATATAATAGAATGTTTTGTTAGAAAAAGTTTGGAAAGAAATATTGAAAAATAATGAAAATCATTCGGCTGGTTAGGCAAATCGGACCTTGCATACTAGGTCAAGTAGTGTGGTTCTGGCTATTAAGCACGACACTTCCACTCCTTGGCTGTAGTAGGCGAGTTAGGTTCAATAGACGTGTACCGGGTGGCCTTAGCTTCTCCATGGTTGAAGGATTTTATTCAATTGTTATGCAATTAAGGACTTTACTGCTACGCAAGTTTTAACAGACTCGGCCAAGCCTAGCATGGAGAAGTTATGAGTCGCGCACCTCATAGAATGTCACAATTTTCGAACATCTTGTCCAAAAATTTTGACATTTTAATGTTTTCCAATGTTCTTTCTGTTGTGGCACTCTTCCTCTAGTGCTGGACTACGAGGAGGAAACAAGGTCCCACAGCCAGAAACACCACCAGCTGCTGTAGGGAGAATAAGGTCATGCAGTAAACTTACCCTCATCGTACTCTGAGGATCTTAATGCTGGTTCTAATTCACTCGCTGCGCCACAAGAACATACTCAGGATGAGTATACGTAGTCAACACACTCACCAGTCAGTCCTGTGGCCTCACAGTACACAGTGAAATCAGTTGTCTCACTTAGGGCGTGGAAAAATTTCCTTTGTAGAGAAATCTTGTAAGCCTTCATGGAACGGCTTGGCTTTGCTATCAAACCTCGACTTTCTAATTAACGGCCAAACCTAGATAAATAACTCTTTATACAACCTAAGTTAACAATTAATTCCCACTTACCTAAGGACCGCCATATATCTAGTGGTTTCGATGGGGACAGGAAGCCAGCGCCTTGTTAAAAGTTCCCCATTTTTGTATAATTTTCTTCGAACGAATTTTGAATTTCAGTAATATCTTGCCATTTATGGCTTCGACAGGTTGGCGGTTCCATGGGTTTATAACCCTATAGGCCTATTAGTGACTACTGGGAAGTAACGTATAGTTC